AAGTTTCAGTCTCGGACATGTCATCGTGCATAAGCTTAACATTTTTTTTCTCATAACAACCTTCTTATTTTACGACCTGTTGTATGTACCACATACATTGTCAGAGAGTCTACAATACGGGTTTTAGGGGGGATTCTTTTATCATTTTTTTTTACCAAGGAAACTTTTTTCAATATTAAAAATGGATCTAAACTTTAAAATAAATTCTTCAAAAAAACTTCGTAATACCAACAGCGAAACTGAGGAATTAGAGGAATTTATAATATTTCTGATAAATTTTTTTTCAATAAAGATCAGAAATCTAATAATAACTAAATATAACAATTTTATAACTGTAAATGATATCCAACTTAACGTATTTGCATTTGATTCGGTAGTCCCAAACTATTATTCGCTGCAATCGTAGCCGCCACTCTAATGTAAAATGACGAGATTCACAAAAATCCGAAACTTTATCTGTATAACTCAGCATTCTATCCTTAAAATAGAAATTATTGATATTTTTAGCGCTGGGTATTTTTATTTGATACAGTAACCTTTAATCAAATTATATTAAGTGTATTACATAAACGAGCATCTGATATACATAAATAATGGATATAGCTATCTACAAATGCGGTCAATGACCAGGAACTGTTTTGTTCACTATAAATGTTTAAATCGAATTTTGAAGCACAAGTCACAAACACTCATTATTTAGATTCTCTCCATTTGCCAACATGAATAGCTATACAGCAGGTTAAATTCACTGACACATGTGGCACGTCATCTGCTAAAATTTCAATATTTTGCACAACTCCCAATATGTTAATATAAGATTCTAATGTGTTTCGAGAATTACTACCGAATCACAAAAGAACTCTCCTAACATGACTCAATATTGCTGCAGTAATGTTCTTCCTGCCTGCTCAATTTTAACATACAAATGTACTCATTTATGAGGTTCCAGGAATATCAGCACTGACATGATGGATGTCATTTACGATTTAAATTGATTAACTACTGTTATATCAAATTTCACTATAACAGACATTTATTTAGGTTTAACGAAAAACTTTCTGATTCGCGAAAGTCATAAATTTTAAATTCATTGATTGCAATCGTGGTCTACAACCTAAAGAGACCACAACTTCTGGAAAAATACCTCGTAGCCAAAAGTGTACCATATGCCACGACTATAATCATATATTTGCATTTGTGAATAAAATAATTTTATGGTCTTTGATATTGGTCCATCAATGCTAATTTTCGTTAATTATTTTTGACGACTTCCGGTGGTTAAAACGCTGCACACTTACAATATCATTATATAATAGAAAATCACTTCTTACATTGTCCAAGTTTACCTCATTTCCCAATACATTCATAATAAAAATATTTCTGTAGTATTGGAATGATGATGTATAGACATTTTTAGGGGAAAAAAACAAAAACAAAATATTTACGTCTATTATCAGGTGTTATGATTTAGGGAATAGACACGCTGTAGTGTGCACGTGTATTTATTCTACTTTGTACTGTGGTGAACTGTTAATTTCTAAAAATAGATATACCAGATAATCACAGATATTATCGGATTACATCCAAAAAGTTCAAAAGTAGTGAGGGTCTGTTATATGGTACATGTAATATAAGTGCTAAATAATCACTGATTATATTGAAATAGTTTTACATTTCAGCGAGTTTCAGTAAACAATGCAACAAGGAAGACATTTAAATATATTTGCAGCGAGTTAGTTTGACGAATAAAAAAAGTATTAAAAACATGTAAAAGCCCTTCGCGGTAAATACCGCACGCTGTAAAACGTTGAAATTTATTTCTTGCACCGCATCAATTGCCGTTGATGGCTATAGTCATGAAGAAATGCAACATTAAAATTTCCAAACACGGTATATCACACCATCTTCAAAATGTAAGATGGGGATTCTTATTAAGTTAGAGAATAATGCACAAATCAAACCCAACCAATCCAAATGGCCGTTACAATAGAGAAAACGGCAAAGCGGTAAAATTTATCCGTCCAAGAATCATGGATCCGGTCCTCGGCCTACTAAATTCCCATGTCTTATCCTGCCAGTAATAAGGGTCAACCTGCAAATAGCACTGTAAAACACGAAGTTTGATGCTATCAGAGCGAATGCGTTCACTTTTCCCACTACCGACTGTTGGTTTATGTTAACAATTAATAAAGGTGAGTGCTCACTTTTGGTTTGTTTTAAATACCATGTATTGTTTTTACATAATTTATATTTAAAATATTTAGATAAGGGAATTTGGGTATTATGCATGTTGGGACGACACCGTGGTTGTTTTAAGTGGATGACACCTCTATATATCTCTAAAGTATTTTAGTAACCTTTGTTCTTTACATGTCTAGTTCTGGTGTTCGACATGTGGCGAGTATTGAGTGGTGATTGATTAAGGTAAGACTTTTTGTCTGTGTCTATGCATATACATTAGGCCATCATTCTTTCTCTGGAATGTTATAATATAATATATAGGCAATGATGAGCATTGTTGCAAGAAGGGGATTGGATTGTGCTGGTATGTTGTAGACAAACTTAACTTAAAGGTACATGTAGGTAATTATAGGACGATATGTATTGTTGGACATACAAGTATATACAAATGACCACAGGATCAAGTAATTCTGCTGCGAGTATACGAGTCTTGTATTACAATTAAAGGAACAGGTGAATTGATAATATAAACTATTCGCAAATTATGATTTATTTGGAACTGGGCAATGCAAATGAGACTGGAATATGCATTTTCTGTTGCTCTATCTCTATTGCTAAAGAGTCTTCTTGTTTTGGAGATATTGGAAGGGGTAGACTTAAAGTTTAAAAATAGTTGCATTAGTTTTTGTCATGTTTTTCATTTTTTTTCCTGTATGTTTGTTCTTTATCCCAGATCACAATGTAAGGTATTCATTCTGTGTAAAACATCAACTTTTATATGCTTATAATAGCAATGAGTTACCGGTGATGGATTGATAATATTTAGTGTAAATAATGGAGGTTTATCCTCTTATCCTCTAAAGAGAAGAGACTTTATCGAAAAATAAAGATGTAAATACCAGTTATAAATGCAATTCCAAGCTGAAAGTTAATTTTATTCCAAAAGAAATAAACCAATCGAGTTTATGAAAAGGTTTCAAGCTATAAAGATATGCTGAAATCAGTTACAGAAATAGATATGAAAAGTCAAGATGCATCACAGGATATTTTACATGTGAATATTCACAATAGATCCTTAGTGGTATATTACAGACGACACACAACCTGAGAACTTTCAAATAAAAAACGCTTTCTCAAAAAACTTTTTACCAATACTACATTGATGCAATATAAAAACGTGGCGAGAGAAAAGAAACATAATTACATTTATTTATTTGTAGAAATGTTGTCATGTACAATCTCCTTGGTTAGCTTTTATGTATTATGAAAATATATATCTTCTAATGCGTATTGAGGTGTTCGTCGTACAAGCTCATCCTCTAGTGTCATAATTCCTGACTTCTTTAACGACATTTTGTAACGGAAACAAAATGAAAATGTATGATAAAGTGTAACATCGACAATAAACCTTTCACCACGTAAAACTGGAAAGCATCTTTCTAGGTCGCTAATGTGGAAGATTTACATTCTCGTGCTATTTGCTTTACATTACTTTATAAATATCGAAATTCCGGAGATTCGATAAAGGCTTGGTACATATGTACGAGAAAATATCAGTAATTAATATACAAAAACGTATTATTTTAGATTTATATGTATAGTTTTAATACTCTGTCCTCCATAGCAATAATAATTGACCAGTTTTAATAACTTTTACTGGTTTCAGAATTAACGCAGAAACAAAATAAACCAAAAAACAACACAAAAAACAACACAAAATTATAAACAAAAAGGACATCATTAAAATTGAAAAATGAAGTTTATTTAAAACTAGATATACAAAAAGATGTATATTCAAGAGAAATATAGAATACAATAAGTTGAGTTCTTATGATATGTTAGGTCTATGATAAAATATGTAAAGTATGTTATTTAGAGCTTTAAATTTGATTATAAATTGATTGGCATTTCGTATTAACTGTCATACAAACAAATAAACTTAAATGTTAGTTATGACATATCAACGTTAAAGACAATCCTACTAGTAAATTCTACAATGGACATCACAGTGTTGAAGAACAGAATATCAATTTCTTTTGTCAGTTTCCCCAGCACATCACTGTTTTTATTTTGTTTCACCTGGGCCATGTCAAGGACTTACGTCATAATTGCTTTTTTGACGTCACTTCAACTCCGTTGTCTCAATAATGTTTAATGCTGATTTCATTACACTCTTATATTTAACTACATTCATCGTTAGTTACATAAACAACCAAATTTAATCTCAATAAAGAAATTTAGGATGGTGTCTAAAGTAAATATGTGATTGTATCGACCTGGAAAGTGAAACTTCTCTTTCTCATTGTATACAGTATAAAAAGCTGATAATTGTCTATGTTTATCTATGTTTTCATAACTCGATATGATCAATGTTGACCAGCTATAGTATTTAATCACAGCAAATTGCGTATGATTGACATGTATATTCAAATAAGATTGTGAATTGCTATTTTCATGATATGATATCAATATTTGTAATCTATAAACAAATATCTTTAATTTGGTAAAAATTAAAGTCAGAAAATAGGAAAATATTCAACTGAAAGTATTTTTGTGATAAAGGGATATTTCTGAAAGTCGAGCGTCCTCATTTGTCCGTAAATGACTCAAATGTTTCATCAATCTGGTACATTAAAGCCAATTCAACTGTTGCTCTAATATCCCACCGTTCAACATATCCGGCTGTGCCAGTTGAATTGAAAGTTACATTAATCATCTTGCTTCACATCCAATCTCCGTTCGTTGGAAAATAGCAGCGAAATAACGAGGCCAGAAAACGAAAATGCTCTTTACTTCCAATATACCATATCATCTGCAATCTATTCTTTAGATTTGGCGGCAAAACAGCAAATGCAGATAAGTCCAATACAGCCGAACAGACAGCCGACACCGATCATAATGTAGGTCAAGGTGATGACCCAGAAGGAGAAGTAGTAGAGTGTCGGATGACAGTAGTTTCCGGCAGTTGACGGAGAAGACACCCATTGATCCTTCAGACCGTATACCCAGACATTTCCTAGGAACGAAAAGCAACAAATGAGACAAATTCAAAATAAATTCCTGTTTTTCAAACGATACTTACGATTGATCCATCGAGAATATCAAATGGTTTTGTTTTTAGATTTAATTCCATAAAATCTAAACATTGAAAGAAAAAAAATATCCCAAATTTTAAAAGTTTTTTTAGTTTAAATTTTGTGTAACGACAAGCTGTATTAGTTTTAATTTTTATAAGGTTCGTGAAAATATAATTAAGTATTTACTAACATTTGATTAATGTTAGACTTGCCCAATAACATAAAATAGTTTATGCGTAATATACATATACGGCAAAATATTTTATTGAAATTTAAAGATTGTATATTGCTTCATGTTTATGACATAGTATATTGAGTTCAATCTTATTGCAGACAGATTACATACAATGTGTTTAAGGCAACCTCAGTACCTGCTATGGAATCGTTAAAATCAGTATTCTTTCTTCACAAGCAAAATAAAAGGCAGTTATTCTAGGTAAATTCGAATATTGAATGGCCGTTTAAAGTGATAATTTTATAAATGATTCATCTAGTTACATATCTAAGGTGTTCCATTTTAACTGAAAGTAAATTAAGTTATTATCGAAAAAACTGAAATTCTCCTTGTTTCGAAATCAAGTGACTGATTTGTGACTATTGTTATAATCCAGAAGTGTGGGCGTTTAGCAAACGTTTTAATGGATATGAAAAACAATCCTTTGATCAGGCATTGGTTCATAAGAATACAATATCAACAGAAATAATTAACCCGCTGTAGTAACTCAGAAATTTAACAAAAGCCGAAAACTCACCGCAAATAAACCACGCGAACAAGAACATATTGACAATGCTATCGAAGGGATTTGTTGTACTCTTCTTCTCTTCGTCTCCAGTTTCGTTACTTTTGTCTTTCCTTGCTTTAACATTCTGTCCTATCAGTCCAATTCCTTTCAGGGTGCCGAATACGCCTGCCACTACCAGGTAGATAGGAATGAGACGTTGGGCTGGACAGTCATGAATGAAAGAGGCTCCTGTCAAGTGAAGAAACCACAACAGATTATCGAGCTGATATAAAACAAGAGAAATCAAGTGTCAAAATTTTGAATTTCAGAAGTTTGTTTTTCTTCTTTTATTTTGTAAAACAGAGGAAAATTAAAGGAGATATTCTCCTGAAACGATATACCATATATACAAATCACTACAAGTTAGTGTTGCCAAATGATCGTTTAACAGATAATTATCTACTAGTCGTAACAGTCAGTAATTAAGTTCACAAACTCTTTGACTTGAAAATAAAAATAAAAGAAAAAAGCAAACAAAAAATATCCTAAACGAGGGTGAACACTATAAAAAGATATGGATTCATCCTTATGAAATAACAATGAAGACTACTAAATCAGCGAAAGAAGCTGATTTCACATTTTGAAGTTATTTACTTTGTTGACATGTAACCACGTAAAGTAATGCCTTGTAAACATTTTAATGAATCCTGATCTATTCATAAAAATACTTACCTATTACTATTTCTGTAATTGGTATAGCCAGCGAAAGTCCGATGCATATGATGAATACCACTGTAACAGAAAATCATACGTGTATGAATCTCAGGATGTGTTTAGGATATCAATACAGGTATTTAACATATGAGATGTGGGCGTTGATACATGAAAACAATCATGTTCAGGAAGTCATACTCATGATATGTGGGTGTTGATACATGAAAATAATCATGTTCAGGAAGTCAAACTCATGATATGTGGGCGTTGATACATGAAAACACTCATGTTCAGGAAGTCATACTCATGATATGTGGGTGTTGATACATGAAAACACTCATGTTCAGGAAGTCATACTCATGATATGTGGGCGTTGATACATGAAAACACTCATGTTCAGGAAGTCATACTCATGATATGTGGGTGTTGATACATGAAAACACTCATGTTCAGGAACTCATACTCATGATATGTGGGTGTTGATACATGAAAACACTCATGTTCAGGAAGTCATACTCATGATATGTGGGCGTTGATACATGAAAACACTCATGTTCAGGAAGTCATACTCATGATATGTGGGTGTTGATACATGAAAACACTCATGTTCAGGAACTCATACTCATGATATGTGGGTGTTGATACATGAAAACACTCATGTTCAGGAAGTCATACTCATGATATGTGGGTGTTGATACATGAAAACAATCATGTTGAGGAAGTCATACTCATGATATGTGGGTGTTGATACATGAAAACACTCATGTTCAGGAAGTCATACTCATGATATGTGGGCGTTGATATATGAAAACAAACATGTTCAGGAAGTCAAACTCATGATATGTGGGTGTTGATACATGAAAACAATCATGTTCAGGAAGTCATACTCATAGGTCTTGATACAGAAAGTCATACATGTATATCACTCATGATATGTGGGTGTTGATATAGGAAGTTATACATGTATATCACTCATGATATGGAGGTGTTGATACAGGAAGTCATACATGTATATCACTCATGATATGTGGGTGTTGATATAGGAAGTCATACATGTATATCACTCATGATATGTGGGTGTTGATATAGGAAGTCATACATGTATATCACTCACGATACAGGAAGTCATACATGTATATCACTCACGATACAGGAAGTCATACATGTATTTCACTCATGATACAGGAAGTCATACATGTATGTCACTCATGATACAGGAAGTCATACATGTATATCATTCATGATACAGGAAGTCATACATGTATATCACTCATGATACAGGAAGTCATACATGTATATCACCCATGATACAGGAAGTCATACATGTATTTCACTCATGATACAGGAAGTCATACATGTATTTCACTCATGATACAGGAAGTCATACATGTATGTCACTCATGATACAGGAAGTCATACATGTATGTCACTCACGATACAGGAAGTCATACATGTATATCACTCATGATACAGGAAGTCATACATGTATTTCACTCATGATACAGGAAGTCATACATGTATTTCACTCATGATACAGGAAGTCATACATGTATGTCACTCACGATACAGAAAGTCAATACATGTTTATCACTCATGATATGTGGTTGTTGATACAGGGAGTCAATACATGTAAGAGGCTGATGTGTTTATATTCTACAACATTAACAACATAATAGTGAGCACATTATCGCTACAGCCATGCTGCAAGAAATTAAAACAATATACTAGGTGTGATATTAATGAATCATTGTTAAATAACGAGGACCATCGGATCATCTCTTTAGTGAACATCCTTTCGATTAATATTCTCTCCAGTTAATACAAGTGTATCTAATAGAGTATTAACAGCATATAACAAACAAGCGAATACATACGTGAGCCGCATATGATGCCCATAGCCGTTTTGGCGAAGTCAGCTTTTCCTGAAGAGTTCTCATTGGCAGCTTTTAGCTTTCCATATAAGGAATCGTAAGTCGGCGGTGGGGCTATAAAGTAAGAATATCATAACATCAATATAAACACTGTAATAGTTCTTGCACTTTTCAATATTGTATAATATGTAATATTTTCTATATTGTAACAAGGGTAAATTTGTTGCATGAGATTTCAAACATACAGCTAGATTCCTTGTCCGATATATACAGCTTTTAATTTCAAAGTGTTCAAGTATGCTATTCACATGTGTCCTTCGTGCAATCACCCATGGCAAACTGATGCCTTATTACATTTTTCACAGATAGTAAAAATTGACAGTTACTATTCACTAGCACAACTGAAAATGTGACAATATCGCATACACAATTAAAATATACAAATGCTGCAGTAACGGAAAGCTGGCGTATATTTACATATGAATTAATTCGTCAGAATAATATTTCATTCAAGACAATAATAACTTACAAAGTAAAATATCTTTTGGTTATTTGAACAATTCATGTTGGGAAAAATGTAGAATTACTTATATATTCATTGCAGTTTGGAACTATATGACCGAGCGGAACAATTCATTGACATAATTCAGCGCAACGCCCGTCAAGCCAACATAGTGATTACAGCAAACTATGGAAGCCCCGAAAACCTGCATGAAGTACATGGTCCGTGTCTATGTAAAAGCAGCCGTATTGCTAAAAGTGAAGAAAGATATCTGTAGTTAGCTTTTGACCATTCTTTTCTGCTTTTTTATTATCGGTCTATATTTTCTATAAGAAATTTCTATCACGAAGTTTAATCTTGTGCATTGTAACACCCTTACCATTCATTTCCACGTCCCTGGTGGTGATCGGTGGGGGCGCCTTTTCTTCCTGGTAGGAGTTCTGGACGCCAGCACCGTTATCGTAGGATGGCAGTTCACTCATCTTGTCTTCCTTTTGTTATTGTTTGGAATCAATAATTCTGGTAACAAAACAAAAACTGTATTCAAAAATAATGAAAGACAATGCAATTTTCATATTAAAGGATTAACGGAAAATCTATTTAAACCTTTTCTAATGTAATAAGAATAAAAATGCATGTTTCTATCGTCGATCTCGGGTTTTCTTGTTGTGTTTTTCCCCTTGTTTCTTGTTAGTAATTTGATATTTTTTATATTAGCTAATGCGAAGGGCTGATTATATAATTGATTTTTATAGTTTTCTTCTTTAATTCGATTTCTTCAGAACACTGTTTTCCTATTTTGGTAATGTTTTGATTGGTTGGCATGATTTGTCGCCAGCATCATCCTTCTATACTTAACTTCAAGAATTCTGTGGTAATTCAAATTCTGAATTACATCATGACCACCTTGATAATAGTCCAGCATGTACCTGTTCTGCTGAACGTGAAACAGTACATCCTTCTTAAGGGAATGTCCTTTATTTAGTAATCAAAGACTCTTACTGTTTACTTCTTATAATAATTATGGTAACCTTTATCATTTTTCTGGTTGTGATGCGACAAAAAACCTGTAAACTTGTGTAGAGTATCCCTTTAATTTGAAATGTTCTTTTGCGTTAAATTTTCATTTCAAATTTGTATAAACTTATGTCATACCAATAAATTATTGATATAATTATTCCACTTTGGCCATTGGATGTCGTAAATTCATATTTGCACCCCTGTCAAAAAATTGATGAAAGGAAACTGAACATTTAGCAACAAAGTTAATTTAGAATCAATAAAAACACTGACTACAAAGTTCACGAGGGGTAAACAAATACTTCCAGTAACAAAGTTCATTTGTAGTAAGGAAAAATATCTACATACCAAGTTCACATAGAGTAAGAAAATTTACTTATGTAAACGTTTGGTATTCATTCATTCATTTATTTTTTCCGGGTGCCATCCGACTCATAGGTTAAGTTAACAAACATAATTACATGATGTGGTACAAATATGAAAGAATGTTATACAAATTAGGTTAAATGGAGAGTAAGCTTACAATGATACTCTAGTGTACATTTAGTTCTATCAATCACTAAATTATATACGTTTCCTTGAGGCACAATATAAATATTCCTTACATTACATAATTCTTGGTGCTCAGTAATATCGTTAACTTAAAAATATTTGGACTTCTGTGATAGAATTGTTTGATATATTTACGTCTCAGATTTTGGTAAAAGGGGCATTTTAGGATAAAGTGAAATACGTCTTCTACATCACCAGAGGTACAACGAGTACATGATCTATTTGGCGAAAAACATTATTCCGTCTACCGACTTCGATATTGTACTTTGTTTCTATAGATTTACATAAATAAAATTGGGGACAAAAATTATCAACAAGGTGCTGATACAAAAAACCCTTAGGTGACCTTGATATATTTACTAACATGTTCTGTCTACAATTGTCAAAAATTCTTTGTTCGATAATTTTAAAAGCAACATTAACAGGTACATTGTTTTCAGACATATATTCCAACCCAAGACTAGATAATTCTTGTTTGATATTAGCAACCCAGGCATAGTTTTGATTAACACACTCATCATAACATGATTTTAATATACAGTTTCCACTCTGTTTCACCTTCAACCAGAAGTTAAAAAATCCTTAATTTTCTATGTATTATCAAAGGAAATCTACCAATAAACCAGATCGTTGAAAGTATTTTTTCGAACTCCTAACAAGTTTTTACAAAAATTAAGGTGTATTTTTTCTACATCGGGTGATTTATAAAATCCCCATATCTCAGAAGCATAACATAAAATGCTTTTTATATTCGAGTCAAAAAGAGATCTAACAAGGTACAAATTTATAATTATTAATCTGACTTTGGTTTTTACCCATTGGAAAAGTAAAACTTAAAACCGTTTTGCTACGAAATCTCGCATTTTACAGCCTCTGGATGATATATAAATACCTGAACACTGAAAATGATAATAATATAATAAATATATACATTTTTTCTTAATATAGAAAAGTAATTTCGATTCGATGATATACATGTAGTATCAATGTACAGAAACATTAGCTTACTAAAGTGAACTTCCTTCCCTACAATACATCAGGAAACAAGGGCTAAATATCATGACCGCATTTTTGTCGATACTTAATATCACTCTGAGCACAAACCGTTCTTTATATTATTAATACTCTATCATATGACATGTAATTTATCTCTAATCTATATATTTTGGTTTTCTTATTTACCCGTCATTGTTGAGATTTGTAAAATATGTTCAGAGACAAAGTTTATCGTTATTATCATATTCGTGTAAATTAAGGAATGGAAGCTACACTTATCTAGATCACGGATATAGCTAAGCACGACATTAGCAAATGTAAATAACTAGTGTAAATAAATAATTATTTCCTTATTATACCCGTAAAATATAACGTAAAATTATGTAGGGTAATACTAACTGATGCTCCAAGATTCACACTTCAACACAAAATTAAAAATGTTTGCCCAATTAATGAAACAAATTAAAACAAATTTTTAAAAAATCAACTAAAACCAAAAGCGATGCTAAATGAAACGCAAAATGCTTCACATACTAAAACAGATTCATACACAAAACTTGCAACAAAAAAAAAAAAAAAAAAAAGTCAGACGAAAGTACTGACGTGACAACCTACCGTACACATGAGTGGACAAGCTACGTGTGTTTTACAGTCAGCTAAGACAGTCGTTTAAAGACAGTCGTATACACCTACACCTTTTGCTACATCATGTGGTGGCGAGTCAAACAACCTGATTGCGAAATAAGTCTTCTAGATATTTTTCATACTCACAGAGATTACATCATACCATATCAGATGACTTGTCTTCAAAATATCCGCTGTTTATCACTCTAAATTTGTTTTATTTATTACCCCATGGCTACAGAGAAATAAGCAAATAAACAAAAGTGTTAAAAGATATGAGTATATCATGGACTTTATCTAGATTAAAGAATGTTTTGTTTACAGATGTGACATTGACAAGATATCAGCCTTATTAAAAAATTACAGTTTTCAACAACATATAGTCAACCTTAGAAAATGATCCGAAATGATTGTAACTTTTCTTTGGTTGTTCAAACTTATACCTGGTACTGTCAGAAACACTTAGATGATAATTATTGAAATGAATATAAATTTCTCTTTTATTATAATACTTTACTTTACTGCCCGTGAAAGTGTATCGTATTTTGATTGTTCTATCCGCTTACATAAATATTTAGTCCATGTTATAAGATAATAAGATCAAATACAAGTTCCAACACTTTACAATTTGTCTGGTACAAAATATTTTTTACAGTTATATACATGTACATGATAACATATGCAAGTATTTTGAAGACCTTTTTGATGTTGTAATATGCATTTCAGAATACAACATTTTGAACAATATAACATGAAATGAATATTCTTGTGTTTGTATAACTGTCAGGAAGGAAAGTCATCGAAGCATAGGCATAATCCACGTATATTTGTCATATACATTACATAAAAATCATACCCATTTACCAGTAAACTAACATCAAAGCAGAAATTGTTTTGAAGTTATTTTCGCCACAACTACTTAATTGCTTCATGCTTTAGACAAACCATTCAGTATCATCGACGTCTACTTATTTTTTATATATATATATATTTAGGTGCTTTGTCATTCATAAAAAGTATTTCATTGTCTTGCATGTTGTTTATTATCATTACAGCCGAAACAGACGTCTTACACACCTGAAATGTCAATATGTATATAAAGAGTAAATGAAAGCGTCGCCTCTTGAGTAGTGTTCTTATTGGTGTTGACCTGATTTGGAGGTGGGGTGGGGTTGGGGGGTTGATGGTTGACAGTGTTAGATAGATCATACGCCTTAAACAAATACATATTTGTTTAAAAAGAAGTATTGATTACAGGGTAATAAGGTAGTGCTTCAAAACATGTTGTTAGCTCGATAAATATTCGCATATACACATTCATTAAGCAATTGGTGCACTTTTCATTAAATACTGATGAAGAACAAATAACTGAAAAATCTCCCCCAAGGAACCTTTTGAACTGACTCGGGTTAGTGACTCAACTTTAATAATCGCTAACGTTCATGGTTTTTTTTATATTTTTTTTATCAAATTTCTTAACAAGTTTTGTACGATTGCCAATAGTTCTAACACGAATATATTACATTAGAAGTGTGTAAGACAATTCATGTATCACTTTGTAAGTTTGAACGATACTCAGTCATTATATCATAATATACATGTCTTATAGAATCTTCCGAATTTTGCTGGAGTTTCATTTGATATGAGAATGTATCCATTTAAATGTAAAAATGGAGGGGGGTGAGAGATAGATAAGGGGAGAGAGAGAGAGAGAGAGAGAGAGAGAGAGAGAGAGAGAGAGAGAGAGAGAGAGAGAGAGAGAGAGAGAGAGAGAGAGAGAGAGAGAGAGAATCGTGACAAGTTCCGAAAATTGTATATCAAATGGAAAGGAATTTTAAAAACCTTATTACATGATACTGACATTAGGTGCTGGTCGACTTTTAGTCCCAAAGGTTTGCCGTAACCTGCATGCCACGTTTTAGTTCGAGAATATACACATTTACTTGACTTTGTTATCTGATATATGAAAATTATGAAATTCATGTGGCTAGAACACCTCCCAATCTCGATTTTGACTTTTTTCGGTCACTAACAGTCGCTTACTAGGTTTCAAACTTCGGCCCTCAGCATCATAGGACAAAACAGCCGTATGGTGCAGATTAATCCATTATTTGGCAACACTGCAATTGATTCTAAATTGTTGAAAGGCGTTATTCACTTGTGTATCTTTTGCACAATCTTTGTAAAGTCATGATATAGATATTTGAAATTTAATCACATTATATTTGGAAAAGTTACTAGATATATGCACGTACACTGGTACAGAAAAATGTTATGTCAATTATGGATT